AGACAGCCAGTTCCAGAGCAGAGAGGAGGAGCCCACTACCACCAAGGAAGGAGAGACCAGCAGGAAAGACCCAGCAGCAGAGACCTGGCAGCAGGAGATGTGATGGCACAGTGAGCTTCCTGGCCCACAGAAAGAGAAAGCTGAGTGCCTTTGGGCAGAGACTGAGGGCCAGGGAGAGGTGTGCCTACCAGCACAGCTGGGGAGAGGCTATCCTGATGGAAGAACTGTATCCTGAGTATTCTTGACCCTGAATTGTAACTGTTAATTCCCTAATAAACCCCCTAATTGTGGTATGGTCTGAGTTCTGTGTGGCCATTGCAATGAATTATCGAACCCAGTAGAGGGTGCTGTGGGAGGGACAGTTGGTGTCAGAATTGGTAGAGATGGAGCATAAGGAGGTGTGTCTGACCTCTCCCTCATAGGAATCAGCCTTGGGCCGTTGAACTTGGTTCTCCTTCCTCCCGGTGGGGTTGGAGGAGATCAGACACCTTCCCCATGCCGCTTTTACAGACACAGTAGATATTATTAGTTTTTCTTGAAGAGACAGGTTTACTTTTTTCATTTTAAAGAAACTGTCAAATACACATGTCTAAGTAACTGTAGTTTGTCAGTCTTTCTTCCAACTAAAAATGTTACTGTATGAAAAAAGCAGCTAGTTCAGCTAACGACTCACAAGTGTTTTGTTTTTTTGAGAAAGCCATTATACTTTATTCTTCGTCACCCACAGTATTAGAAAAACATGCACTCAAAGATTGGGATTTAATAAAATTAGTAATGTTTATAATTTCATCAAGGATATTCTTAAGTGAAACAGGTCTTTTTAAAAACTTTTTAACTGCAAGAGCATGGCAGTAAAGAATATAATAACAGTGAGTACGGTTTTGTACCACTGTACTGATTTGTGCTAAGGCCCCAGAAGTTTTATTTACCATTGACTTTGCATCATCGGTGCAAATTCCAGCAGTAAAAAAGGCAAAAGTATTATTGTAACAAGAGTTTTGACCTTGCGGACTTCCTGAAAGGGTCTTGGGGACTCTCAGAAGGCCGTGGACCACACTTTGAGAACTGCTGTGATGTTGTTGGTGTTGTTAGGGGTGGTCGAGTAGGTTCCGACTCACAGCAAACCCAGTACAATAGAACAAAAAGAGTGCCTGGTCCTGTGCCATTCTCACAATAATTGCTATGTATGAGCCCATTGTTGCAGCCACTGTGTCAATCCATCTTGTTAAAGGCCTTCCTCTTTTTTGCTGACCCTCTACTTTACCAAGCATGATGTCCTTCTTCAGAGACTGGTGCCTCCCGATAACATGTCCGAAGTCCATGAGACGAAGTCTCACCACCCTTGCTTCGAAGGAACATTCTGGCTGTACTTCTTCCAAGACAGGTTTGTTTGTTCTTCTGGAAGTCCATGGTATATCCAATATTTTTTGACAACATCATAACCTGAAGGCATCAATTCTTCTCTGATCTTCATTATTTATTGCCCAGCTTTCGCATCCATATGAGGCGATTGAAAATACCATGGCTTGGGTCAGGCACGCATTAATCGTCAAAATGACATCTCTGCTTTTCAACACTTTAAAGACGTCTTTTGCAGCAGATCTGCCCCACAGATTTCTTGACTGCTGCTTCCATGGGCATTGACTGTGGATCCAAGTAAAATGAAATCCTTGACAACCTCAATATTTTCTCCGTTTATCATGATGTTCCTTACTGGTCCAGTTGTTAGGACTTTAGTTTTATTTATGTTGAGGTGTAATCCATAGTGAAGGCTGTAGTCTTTGATCTTTATCAGTAAGTGCTTCAAGTCTTCTTCACTTTCAGCAAGCAAGGTTGTGTCATCTGCATATCAAATGTTGTTAATGAGTCTTCCTCCAATCCTGGTGCCGTGTTCTTCTTCATTTAGTTCAGCTTCTTGGATTATTTGCTCAGCATTCAGTTGAGTAAGTATGGCAAAAGGATACAACGCTGATGCACACCTTTTCTGATTTTAAACCACGTAGTATCCTCTTGTTCTGTTTGAACGACTGCCTCTTGGTCTAAGTACAGGTTGCTCATGAGCACAATTGAGTGTTCTGGAATTCCCATTCTTTGCAATGTTATCCATAACTTGTTACGAACCACACAGTCGAATGCATTTGCATAGTCAATAAAACACAGGTAAACATCTTTCTGTTATTCTCTGCTTTCAGCCAAGATCCACCTGACATGAGCAATAATATCCCTCATTCCATGTCCTCTTCTGAATCTGGCTTGAATTTCTGGCAGTTCCCTGTCGATGTACTGCTGCAAGCGCTTTTGAACGATCTATGGCAGAATTTTTCTTGTGTGTGATCTTAATGATAATGTTCGACAATTTCCACATTCTGTTGGATCACCTTTCTTTGGAATGGGTATAAATATGGATCTCTTCCAGTCGGTGGGCCAGGTAGCTGTCTTCCAAATTTCTTAGCATAGATGAATGAGAGCTTCCAGCATTGCCTCCATTTGTTGAAACATCTCAACTGGAATTTCTTAAATTCCTGGAGCCTTGTTTTTTGCCAATGTCTTCAGTGCAGCGTGGACTTCTTCCTTCAGTACCATTGGTTCTTGATCATTTGTTACTTCCTGAAATGGCTGAACATCGACCAATTCTTTTTGGTACAGTGACTCTGTGTATTCCTTCCATCTTCTTTTGATGCTTCATGCGTTCAGCATCTTGCCATAGAATCCTTCAATGTTGCAGCTTGAGGCTTGAATTTTTTCTTCAATTCTTTCAGCTTGAGAAATGCCGAGTGTATTCTTCCCTTTTTGTTTTCTAACTCAAGGTCTTTGCACATTTCATTATAATACTTTACTTTGTTTTCTTGAGGCGCCCTTTGAAATCTTCTGTTCAGCTCTTTTATGTGATCTTTTCCTCCTTTCACTTTAGCTACTCTACATTCAGGAGCAAGTTTCAGAGTCTCTTCCGACATCCATTTTGGTCTTTTGTTTTTTTTTAATGACCTTTTGTTTTCTTCATGGTATGACGTCCTTGATGTCATCCCACTACTTGTCTGGTCCTTGGTCAACTGCATCAAGTCTGTTCTTGAGATGGTCTCTAAATTTAGGTGGGATATGCTCAGGCTCATACTTTGGCTCTCATGGACTTGTTTTAATTTTCTTCAGCTACAACTTGAACTTGCATATGAGCAGTTGATGGTCTGTTCTGCATTTGGCCCCTGGCCTTATTCTGACTGATGATATTGAGCTTCTTGCATTGTCTCTTTCCACAGATGAAATTGATTTGATTCCTGTGTATTCTATCTGGTGAGGCCCATGTGTACAGTTGCCATTTATGTTGTTGATAAAGGTATTTGCAATGAATAAATCATTGGTCTTGCAAAATTTTATCATTTGATCTCCTGTGTCATTTCTATCAGATATCAGATAAACTCTGAGAATATAAAAACAAGTACAACATGATTCCTGTTCTCATGTACTTCGTCTTCTAATAGAGGAAAACCTATGGAGTCAATTACAACATAGCTTCAGTGTGACTCAAGAAGTGGCACACTGATTACAGACCAGTTAGGATACTGTTGCAGCAATGCAGGCAAGAAACGATGAGGTCCTGACCTAAGGTACTGGCAGTAGGAATTCAAGTGGTAAATTAATAGGATTTGGTGACTCATTATAGTCTCTGGGTGGTGCAAATGGTTAATAGGATCTGCTGCTAACTGAAAGATTGGAGATTTGAATTCACTCAGAGGTGCCTTGGAAGAAAGGCCTGGTGATCTATTTCAAAAAAATCAGCCATTGAAAACCTTATGGAGCACACTTTTACTCTGATACACATGGGGTCACCATGAGTCGGAATCAACTCGATAGCAACTAGCTCCTGGTGACTGATTAGATGTGAGGCATAAAGAAGTAGGGCAACCACATGGATAATGGGGTTCTTACTATAGACAGGCATTACAGGAAGAGCAGATTAGCAGGGAGATGGGAGGAGATAATGAGTTTAATTTTGGATTAACTGACTCTGGGTTGCATGTTGGATCTACAGGCAGAGGTGTCTAGCATGCATTTTGATACTCCTGCTTCTTCCCCAAGGGCCTCACTCACTGCTATATCCCCAGTGCCCAGCACAGTACCTGGTTGAATAAATAATCCGGTCAGGAGTGAGTAAGAGGGATCTGAAAGGAGGATTAAATCTGATAGTTTTAGGAGATGCTTCCTAGAAACCACAGGAGTGGACAAGATAAGGTTGATTGTGGCTGTAGGATTTGAACTCCCGCTTAATAATGTTTTCTGACTGCTAAGCCCACAGAATAAGTGGCGTTCTTGGGGAATGCTGCGTCAAATAGCTCACGAAGCCGTTTAATATCTAAATCTACTTTGCAAAAGCTCTTTCTGTATAATGCCGCTCCCTAAGAACGTTATGACCGTATTTTAATGCCTGTAAAACTAATTTGAATTCAGGTGGGGCGGGGCTGACCCCATTGTCCCACCCCCTCAGGGTGGAGTCTCTTTTCACAATTCCCAGCTCTAGGGTTTATTCAGAGCTGTCTGTCGGAGTCGGCTGGGCGTGGCCCCAGAGGAAGATAGGTGTAGTCGGTAGCGTGGCCCAGACAGGGGGCGGCGCTCACGCCACCAGCCCCGCTGACGCGACATAGGCTGAGATCACCTCAGACGCACGCGGTGCAATCACAGAGCGTGCCGCGCCGGCCGCCGCTGGGCGGTCCACAGCAAACCTCGCCTTGAGATCCCTCCGCCCGGTCCCTCCCAGCTCCGTGTCCTAGCGCCCCGCACCCAACGTATTCAGGCTCGGGCGGCCCGCGCTTCTGAAGGAGTGATTTGCCCTTAAGCCCACGTTCTCATTCGTCCCTGTACAACGTGTGCCATGAGTGCAACCCGTTATCTCAGGTTCTCCCGGCGCAAGGAGACCTCGGCGTGGCGTGCATTCGTGAGGCGTGGCCAGCGGAAGGCCCCGCCCCTTTTGTGACGCGCCGGGTGGCGTGCCAGGGAGTCGAGGCTTGGGGGCTGGGACTGGGTTTAGAAGGAGGCCTGGAGGCCGGGGCCGCCTCCCGACGCCCGTTTGCTGGCTTCTGTCGCTCCATCGAATCCGAGGAGCGGAGGTGACCTCGGCCTCCAGCGTCTCCGAAGGGCTGAAGTGGCGTCGGCGGCCGGGATGGCGTTGCTGGGCTTACTGCAGGCGGGCGGGTCGGTGCTGGGGCAGGCGATGGAGCAGGTGACAGGCGGCAGCCTCCTGTCTACGCTCCTGATCGCCTGCACCTTCACCCTCAGTCTGGTCTACCTGTTCCGCCTCGCCGTCGGACACCTGGCCCAGCTGCCGGCCGGGGCGGTACGTGTACCCCCGGGGGTATGGGTGGGGGGCGCAGCGGTCAAGGCGGCCGAAGGGTTGGTGGGGGCGGCGGCTGCGGCGCCGACCTGCGCTCTGGCCGGCCTGGCGGGGCTCGGGCTGGCGGCCGCGCTCAAGACCCTGGCGCTGGTGGTGGCTGCGGCGCTGG